CTTCTGGCTGCAGACTGCTATCCGCAAGCCTTCGGAGCCCGGCGGGAACTCCTGCCTCGCTCCGAAGGCTTGCGGATAGCTGCCTGAAGCCCAGGGAGCAAGAGGGGTCAGTGCGCACCGACCCCTCTCGCTCTCCAGGCTTCCGCGAAAGCCTGCATTCGCCCCATAGGACGCACACACATTTCCCCTTCATTTTTGGAGGAGGAAAAGTGCGTCCTATAGAGTGAAAAATATGGTGTTTTGGATTAATGAGCTGCACTGCAGTAAAGCAGCATGGCCTGTGATTACAGCACATTGAGAGAGGTGGTGTGTCAGCCGCCAGATCCCAACTCTGCTCTCTCCTCTCAGGGAATCATTAGCTCTGATACCTGCATTCCAAAGGATTGGACCAGGTGACACTTTGGGCCCCCCTCCCAACTTTACAACTTTGCGATTCCTCTTGAAAACAAGGGCTCCAAAGTGGTGTTCTTCTGAGCCTTGCCGGCAGAAGTTTCCCCACAATCATTCCTCAAAGATGCCCTCTTGGTGGTGGCTGAAGTTGACTATCTGAGCAGAAGTCACTTCTCGTCGCCACTGGCACAGGGCCCTCTGTGGCCGATTCCTTTGAGATGCTTCATGACTGCGACTTCTCAACAAATCCTCCATTGAGCTCCGTCTGCCCCTTTACCAGCATAAAAATAATAATAACAAGAATACTGCTTCTAATAGTGATTTACATTAAAAGCACATTAAAATCAGCTGCCCCCCCCAAAATGGGCTGCCATTCCCAGCACCTTTAACAAACGACAGCTCCCAGCACTCTTTTTATCAGTGTGTGTGTGTGTGTGTTTAAAATGTTTTGTGTGACGGACTGCTAGATTCTCCATTGACAGAACAACACATTCCACCTCACTCAGGTAGGGCTTGTCTGGGTTCCTCCCAGGCAGAGGTTTCTAGGCAGAAGCCAAGTGAGCTTCATAGAACCCCTTGCACCTTACCCACCCAGAATCACCAAGGGATGTCTCACCTGTGCTCCATCTCCCACGGATGAAGCACCTGAGGGACTCTGAGGTCCCTGGCCATTATCTCGACCCAGCCATTCAAAAGTCTATAAAATGAAGGCACTGAATCCGCCCACCTCACAGATGTTCCTGTGCACATTTGAGCTATGAATCCAAGCTATTTCTAGACCCAGGACTGCAACAACTTTGGAGGACTGCAAGCTCCTCACCAGCAGAAAAGATGTTAAAAGCTGATCTACCGTGGCAGGTCTGTGTCGGTGAACCGTTTCTGATTAATTACTCACAGGGTGGGTTGCAAAAAGTCTGGTATCTGCTCTGCAACTGAAGAGGGAATACAAGGGTGTTGCTAGCAAAATAATGGAAAGGTCCATCTGTACCTTCTCTGCCAGAGGAGGGGAGAATTGTTTGCACATTGGGGCTGGGCTGGGTGGAGGGGCTTCAAAGCACAAATATGTGGACAAGAGGATAACTAATATGGGGACCTGTAGCAGTTGTGCAAACATTCTCACTTTAATAATAATAATAATAATAATAATAATAATAATAATAATAATTTATTATTTATACCTCACCGATCCGGCTGGGTTTCCCCAGCCACACTGGGTGGATTCCAGCAAAATATTAAAATACAATAATTCATCAAATATTTAAGGCTTCCCTAAACAGGGCTGCCTTCAGATGTCTTCTAAAAGTCAGATAGTTATTTTTCTCTTTGACATCTGATGGGAGGGCATTCCACAGGGAGGGTGCCACTACTGAAAAGCCCCTCTGCCTGGTTCCCTGTAACCTCACTTCTCACAGGGAGGGAACCGCCAGAAGGCCCTTAGAGCTGGACCTCAGTGTGTGGGCTGAATGATGGGGGTGGAGATGCTCCTTCAGGTCTACTGGGCTGCGGCCGTTTAGGGCTTTAAAGGTCAGCACCAACACTTTGAATTGTGCTCGAAAACGTACTGGGAGCCAGTGAAGGTCTTTCAGGACCAGTGTTATGTGGTCTCGGTGGCCACTCCTATGGGATCCTAGGGACAGTGAAGAGGGAAAATCTATTGCTTTCATGCCTTCTTTCTGGGCTTCACGGGAGATACTGGCTTCCCAGCCTAGGAAGCAAAAGAAAATCTGGAGAACAGCTGGGGGGAGGGGTGGGAAACTAAGGTGGTCTGTGCATGATCAGAGACTGACAGTTCATGGAGCAAAGCTGTCATAGAATCATAGAACTGTAGAGTTGGAAGGGATCCCAAGGGTCAGCTAGTACAACTTCCTGCCATGCAGGAATCTCAACTAAACCTTCCATGACAGATGGCCACCCATCCACTGCCTAACAGCTCTTACTGTCAGAAAGTTATTTCTGCTTTTTAGTTGGAATCTCCTTTCCTGTAACGTGAAGCCATTGGTTCAAGTCCTACTGTCCTTGAGCCATTGGCTTGAGTTCTAGATTCAAATGTGTGTGATTCCTGCATTGCAGTGGTTGGAATCTACAATTCTATGATTCTATGAAACTACAGTTTTCAATGGAACATTTTCCACTTTGGAGCAGTATGGTACTATGTGGATAGAGGTGAGTTTATGGGGCAGGTTGGTGGTGATAATAGTGGTCATAGAGAAGGACTATGTGCAGAGGAGGGTGACCCAGATATTCTTGGGTCTGGAAACCAAGCCTTATGCGGAATGGTTGAAGGAGTCAGCTATGTTCAGCCTGGAAGAGAGGAGACTTGAGGATAATCATCTCCCACTATTTGAAAGGCTGTCACATGGACGATGGAGCAAGCTGGTTTTCTCCTGCTCCACAGAGTAGGGCCTGAACCAGCGGATTCAGATGACAAGGAATGAGATTCTGACGAAGGATTAGGAAGAACTTTCTGATGGCAAGAGCCATTCTACCCAACAGGCTTTGTCACGGGACTGAACAACAGTGTGCGACGGCGTCACCTCTTATCAATCACCTTCCTTTTACTCCCCCTTACATTGAGGGGAGTTGCTAGTTTATAGCCATTTTTGTAAACCTGAGTTGTAGCCCATTGGGAAGGGGAATGGCCACAGCATCATGCTGCAACACTTCCTTTGCCTGGGGAAGGTCCAAGGTTCAGTCTCCAGTGGCAGATATAGGTAAGGCTGGGGAAAACCCCTGTAGCCAATACTGAACCAGGTGGTTCCATAGCCTGTCAATCAGCATACTGAGGCAACTTCCTGTATTCATATGGACAAATGCAAGAAGGATGAGTCTGTTTGTTGGTCATCATGGATGAAAGAAACCGATTGAGGTAATATGTCTCTGAATTCCAGATGGAAGCATCAAACAGCGGAAGGAGGGTGGGGGATGCAGAGTGCTTGACTAGTTGGAGCCTTGCCTGATCTATCAAAGCAGTGGCTAGTGTTCTTATCTTCTCCCCTTTGTTGCCAACAGAATTTGTGTCTCTGATGTCATAAGGAACTCCGCAGTTGTAGCATTGCAGAGTTATAGCTCAGAAAGAGCTTATGGTCCCATCTGGTATGCCTTGCCTGTGAAAGGAAAGACTATTTGATGCAGATATCAACATGGACACGACTCCCAACCACACCTTCTCTGACCCCTCAGTGTTCTTCCTGTCTGGTATTCCTGGACTGGAAAGCTCCCACGGTTGGATCTCCATACTTTTCTGCTCTGTCTTCACCACCTCCCTGCTGGGCAACAGCACCCTGCTGTACGTGATCAAGACTGATGAGAGCCTCCACAAACCCATGTTCTTCTTCCTCTCCATGCTGGCCTCCATTGACCTGACCTTGTCCCTCACTACCATGCCCAAAACACTGAGCATCTTCTGGTTCAGGGCCAGGGAAATAAGTCTGACCGCCTGCCTTGTTCAGATGTTTCTCCTCCACACCTTTTCCATCATGGAGTCTGCTGTGCTCTTGGCCATGGCCTTTGATCGCTACGTGGCCATCTGCCACCCTCTGAGGTACACCACCATCCTCACCAATTCCTTGGTAGCCAAAATTGGGCTGGTGGCTTTGGTGCGGGCTGCGTTCCTGATGCTCCCATTGCCCTTCCTGCTTAGGAGAATGCCCTATTGCCGCTCCCACGTTATCGCCCACTGCTACTGTGAGCACATGGCGGTGGTGAGATTGGCATGTGCCCACACTCGGTTCAATAACATCTACGGGATCATAGTTGCTCTCTTTGTTGTAGTACTTGATTTGACCTTTATTGGTCTTTCTTACACCAAGATCCTACAAACTGTCCTCAGTCTGGCTTCAAAGGAAGAGCAGCTCAAAGCCTTCAGCACTTGCATCTCTCACCTGTGTGCCATATTGGTTTTCTACACTCCTGTGGTCCTCTCCTCAGTCATCCATAGATTTGGTCACCATGTTCCTCCCTACATACACATCCTGTTGGCCAACTTCTACCTCCTCTTCCCACCCATGATGAACCCCATCATCTATGGGGTGAAGACCAAACAGATACGGGACAGAGCTCTCCTCCTCTTTCACCGGAAAAGCTTTTGAAGGGCAATCTGGCATGGGAAGCCACACCAAGGTGCCTGTTCGCAACGATTATCATACCCATGGGTGGTTCTGTTCTTCACGGTTACAAACTTGGTTGGATGCTCAACAGCTTTAAAGGAGGATTATACAAATCCCACTTGGTGGAAATCACAGAAGGAGAGAGTGTCCATGTGAGGGGAGGGGAAATAAATGGAGCCATTTCTTAGGGAGTTTTGGGGTAGTTGAGAGATGGTTTACAGAAGAGTAGGAGGAAAAGAGGGAGATAGAGAATTGGTTCTGGCTTGTGTGTAACATCCACTCAACTTTTCCCGCCCCAATCTGGCCACAGTGATCCATGTGGCGGTCAGCTCCAGGCTTGGCTCCTGTAATTCGCTCTATGTGGGGCTGCCCTTGAAATTGTCCCAGAAACTCCAGTGGGTGCGGAATGCTGCAGCGAGGCTCCTCCCGGGATCCCTGCCATGGGAGCATATTCACCCAGTGCTTTACCAGTTGCACTGGCTCCTGGTGGAATATAGGGTCAGGTTTAAGGTGCTGGTTTTGACCTTTAAAGCCTTTTGTAGCTTAGGGCCCTCATATTTATGGGACCGCCTCTCCTGGTATGCCCCACAGAGGACCTTAAGGTCCATGAATAATCATAGTTTAGAGGTCCCAGGCCCTAAAGAAGTCAGATTATCCTCCACCAGGGCCAGGGCCTTCTCAGTGATGGCTCTGACCTGGTGGAATGCTCTGTCCCATGAGACCAGGGCCCTTCAGGATTTAACCTCCTCCCGTCGGGCCTGTAAGACAGACCTATTCCGCCTGGCTTTCAATTTGAATTTAGCCTGATCTTTTATTCCCTTTCCTTCCCTCCCCTTTTTATGAAGATCACCCGCTCTGGGATCCCACAGCTAATTCTCCCCTGGCCTCCTCACTGGCCCAAATAGGACTAATTTAGCCAGCTAGCCCTGGTGATCATCTAATGTTTATTGGATGGATTTTCCCCTAAATTGATTTTTGAACTTGTTATTCCCGCTTTTATACTGTATTTTATGCTGTTTTTTATTGTATCACAATTAAGTGTTTAAAATTTGTTGTTAGCCACCCTGAGCCCAGTTTTCTGAACCGGGAAGGGTGGGGTATTAAAAAAAATTATTATTATTATTATTATTATTATTATTATTATTTATTTATTATTATTAAGGAAAATATCTGCCGCTAGAGAAAGGTGTATCTGAGCTTAGACAGTAAAACTGTGTTGAGTGTCTTGGGAGAGTCTTCAGAGAGGAGTTGACTGGAGGGCTGAGTTTGAGCAACAGAAGTAGAAGCTGGGGGGATAATGTCTCCTTGGGTCTCATTCCAGTCAGGAAGGGAGAGATCTAGTCTGGAAACCTATAACCTATTACCTAAAATGTAATAAATGAAGAAAGTTAATCAAGCTGTGCTTTATTAGAAGCCTGTAACATCCATGAGACTTAGTATATTACTAATAAGTTAACTGCTTCCTGAAAGAATATTACCTCCTGATACATCCTTTGCTTTATCCATTTCATTCTGTTAAATAAATCTTTCCTATTTGTTCAACTTCTACCTGATTCTCCAAGTACCAAAGTTTTCCCTCATACAATATCCAGCAGAGCTAACTTGTGCTGGTTAAAAAAAACCATATTGATAGGAGACATAGGGAGTCGGGGGTTCACCATGCCTCATGTCTCTGAACTCCCCCGAGATCTCCTCTGGAGTATGTGCAGGGAGGACGAGTCATTTGCCAGTGGCCTTGAACTACAGCTCACAAGATTCTCTCTCTCTCTCTCTCTCTCTCTCTCTCTCTCTCTCTCTGTGTGTGTGTGTGTGCTGGTGTGTGTTGGTGTGTATGCAGCCTTGGTGATTTTCAGCAAGAATCTCCCTGGACAGAACAACACATTCCATCCCAGCTGCGTGAAGCTGGCCTGGCCTGCTCCCTAGCAACCATCTCTAGGTAATAGCCAAGTAGGCTTCATAGAACCCCTTGCACCTTACGCACCCAGAATCACCAAGGGATTTATCACCTGTGCTCCATCTCCCACGGATGCAGCACCTGAGGGACTCTGAAGTCACTAAAAATCCCCTGCCATTATCTCGACCTAACAGTTCCAAAGCCTATAAAATGAAGGTACTGAATCCGCCCACCTCGCAGATGTGCCTGGGCTGGGCACACGTGAAGCTATGGATCCAAGCTGTTTCTGGACCAAGGACCCTGCAAGGACCCTGGAGAGCTCCATGCACCTCACCAGCTGATACAGACATTAAAAACTGATCTAAAGTAACAGGTGTGTGTCCATGTACCATTTCTGATTAATCACCTACTGCATGTGTTGCAAAAAAGGCTGGTATCTGCTCTGCAGTCAAAAAGGGAACACAAGTGTGTTGCTAACAAAACCCTGGAAAGAAGAAGAGGAGGAGGAGGAGAAGTGTTTGGATTTGATATCCCGCTTTATCACTACTCGAAGGAGTCTCAAAGCGGCTCACATTCTCCTTTCCCTTCCTCCCCCACAACAAACACTCTGTGAGGTGAGTGGGGCTGAGAGACTTCAGAGAAGTGTGACTGGCCCAAGGTCACCCAGCAGCTCCATGTGGAGGAGCGGGGAAGCGAACCCGGTTCACCAGAATACGAGTCCACCGCTCTTCACCACTACACCACACTGGCTCTCCAGCTGCACTCTCTCCGCTGGAGGATGGTAGAATGGTCTGCAAGGAGTGGCCATTGGGGGGCCCACGGCTGGGCTGAGGGTTTTGAACATAGGCTAGTTGATAACATTAGTCAGTGAAGACAATTGTGAGCTGGATGGAGCAAAGGTCTCACTCAGTATAGGATAGCTGCTTATAGCTGTTCTGCTTTTAGGCTTCCCGTTGGGACATCTGGCAAAGCAGAATGCTGGACCAGGTGAACTTTCTGCCTGATCAAGCTACAGGGCTCTTCTTGTGTTTTTAATGCTGGGTGCATATGGGGGAAGGAGATGGGGGAAGGAGATGGGTGCCTTATGCTGGAACAGTTGACTGGATCCCAGAAGAGAGCCACTCCATGTGTAAATGTCTTCTGAAAGCACTTATGCTCCCTGACCCTGAATTTATCTGCAGTTGTGACATGGCCTGGATCCATCCTCATGTTTAGGGAAGCTTTTAATGTTTAATAGGTTATTGTATTTTAGTGTTCTGTTGGAAGCCGCCCAGAATGGCTGGGAAAACCCAGCCAGTTGGGCGGGGTATAAATAAATTATTATTATTATTATTATTATTATTATTATTATTATTATTATTATTATATCCTTTCTTTTCATGCAGGTGCTTTACTCCAGAATTGGACTTCTGAGGATGTTGTTCTGGCACTAGTTTTTTCTCTTCTTGAACTTCATTTTTTCCTTTCAAAGATATAAATTAAGTCAAAAATATATTTTTTAAAAATTATCACCCTCAAAGACCAGGTCAGAAGAGCTGAAGAATTGGGGGTAAACAAAAGCAAATTTTCCAAAAAGGGGGCTTCTTGATCAGTAATTGATGGGGGATCCTAGGAGAATCTATAGAACACCCCTGAATTGTCTGATTCCACAACTGAAACCAAGCAGCAAAAGCCCACCTCTCTCAAGCCTCCTCACTGAGAAGCATCAAATTCATTTTCTATCTGCTCGCTTTTTGGTGGAGCATATAAAGAGGACCGACCTTAGAAGAACAGAGACCATTCGTAGCAGCAAGAAATACCCTGAGGTCAGTAGTCTCCCATTGGGCAATGTCTCTGGAAGCCAGTATATGCAACTGCAGGGAAATCTACGATTTTGCAAGGAGCAGTCTGAACACATCCATGTAAAGTTAGGAGCACCTGTGTCACAAATGGAGAAATTCAGACAGATAAGCCGCAGGGTCAGGTCTTTGCTCAATTTAACATGAACAATCTCACTGCAATGGGGGAGCTTTAATCAAAGGAAGTGGCTCTACTCTCTCTGCATACTGTATATGCAATTCACTAGTATCTGTCATGCCAGACACTGGCAATATTAGCAGCCATGCCCCTTCTTCCTCCTCCTCCTCCTTCTTTCTCCTGGGTCTCCCAGGTCTGGAGAACATACAGGTTTGGATCTCCATCCCCTTCTGCTTCATCTATGCCATGGCTGTCTTTGGCAATGCCACCCTGCTTTGGATCATCAAGACTGATTCCAGCCTCCACAAGCCCATGTACCTCTTCCTCTCCATGCTGGCTTTGACAGATATAGCCATGCCCACCTGCATCGTTCCCAAGATGCTGGGCATCTTCTGGGCTGGTGCCCAAGAGATCACCTTTGCTGGCTGCCTGGTGCAGATGTTCATGATCCATGCCCTCTGTGCGGTGGAGTCTGGGACCCTCACTGCCATGGCTTATGACCGCTACGTGGCCATCTGCTCCCCACTCAGCTACACAACATTACTGACGACAAACACTGTGGCAAAGTTTGGTGCTGTTATCGGGGTCCGGGCCTTCATCATTGTCTTGCCCTTTCCTTTCCTGGTGAAGAGACTGCCGTTCTGCCACTCCCACCTTATATCCCATTCCTACTGTGAACATATGGCAGTAGTGAAGCTCGCATGTGGGGACACCACACCCAACAACCTCTATGGGTTGATACTATCCCTTGCCATTGTCGGTGCTGACCTTGGCTTTATCTTCGTCTCCTATGGACTGATCCTACATGCTGTTTTCCAACTGCCTTCGCTGGAGGCCAGGCACAAGGCCCTGGGTACCTGTGGGGCCCATGTGGGGGTCATCATCATCCTCTACACACCGGGCCTCTTTTCTTTCCTCACCCACCGCTTTGGACATAACATCCCTCACCACGTCCACATCTTCCTGGCAAACATCTATCTCATGGTTCCAGCCATGCTCAACCCCATCGTTTATGGGGCCAAGACCAAGGAGATCCGTGAGCGGGTGCTGAGTGCACTGGGGCTGAGGAAGAGCGCCTCCTAGACTCCCAAGGGGGAACTGCAGGAGGAGCAGGAGAGGAGCAGGAGGACAG